TTTCATGTATCTGGTTCTTGCCATACACAAAAGTAATACAACATTCAAATTGGGACCCCTTATCCTTCATTTGACAATGAATCAATTGAGTAGTGACTATCACGATGTTGACTTGCACCATACTGTCTTTCCAGAATACCCATAGTCTACCAATTGGACTTATCTTCTCATCTGAAAATATCTGCCAGTCATTTCCAAATATTCTTTTAAGTTTACTAACACTCCTAGGCTTTATCTTTGTCTCAAAGCAGCCTAGTGGAGTAATTTTATTTTTCAGCAGATAGGCCTTGAGTTCTCTCTGCTTATAGGGCTTATTCAGCCCTCTTATATTCCAGGAGCTTATTATCATGAGGGATTTTCCTCATTGAGGTCAATCCCTTCAGTCATTCTTACAATGCTGTTATCTTCTTGTATTCTCAATGTACTTTATCTGTTGGTCATTAATAGCTTTTCTATCTCATTTCCACTAAAAACTTTTTTGTTGTGCACCTTCATCTTTTGCTTTCCTTTAGATCTTTGTTGTGGCTGAAAATTTTCCTCTTGTGTTTCAATGTTCTGATGTTCTTTTTGTTTCTGCCCCTGATCTTTCATCTCCTTATCCTATGATATTGTTGTTTCCTGCACCTCTGCTGTTCCTCCTTGTTCCACAATAGCTTTTACTTTCCATTGCATCTTCTTTTGTTGCTTTATTCCAGCTTGTCTATCATGTTTCTCCCCTTTGTATTTTTGCTTCTCTATTGGGGCTTTCTCACAATTGACTTCATGTTTTCCTACTTGGAAGCAAACTTCACAAAAAGCTAGTCTCCATTCATACTCTAATTCTTGTTCCCTGTATGTACCCATTGCCTTTCAATTAACATTACATTTGGCAACTCCTGCGATATATCTATTTCAATCAACATCCTAGCATAAGAAATTCTTTCACGTTCTGCAGTAAACCTATCAGAGCATATAGGTTTCCCAATACAACTTGCTATTCGCCCTAAATTCTCCTTTGTCCAATACTCCACTGGTAGACCTGGGAATATCACCCAAATTGGAATATCTCTTGTTTTCTCCTTACTCATTTGAAATTTAGGTTCCCATTGCTTCAATATCATTCGTCGATTATTAAAGGTATATGGTCTTTTCTGTATAACTAGCTTCTTATCATCTTCAGATTCAAATTTGAAAACAAAGTATCCATCATTATGAAGAAATACATATGGAGTTGTGACAAAACTCCACACACCATACACAAGCTTAAGCATGTCTTTAAATGATGGATTTCCACCCAATACATACCCAATTAGCGATGCCTGCTATTTCTGAGTTTGCTCAGTGACTTCAATTTGATTCAGACGAACCACCTTCACTCCTTCTTTGATAATTTGGGGATAATACTCTAATTGCATCCCCTGTTGTTGAGATCTGTTTCCTTTAACCACCTCCGCTAAGTTTATCTCTGTTCACCCAGAATTTGGCCGCTGATTTGAGAACATAAGTTTCTTAGCTGCTGTGTTATTTTCCACTTCCACTGGCTTAGGTTTCTCTATTTCCTCACATTTTGAATTTTGCATGACAGTTGGTGCATTCCCCATTCCAGTCATCCAGTGAACTAGCTGTATTTGATTCATAGTTTGTGGAATTCCTGACTCTGGTGTTACCATTCTCTCCTCTTCTACCATCTCCGATCTCGTCGTCGGTGCCGTTTCATGCGATTTCCGTCTAGCCATCGTTGAAGGCGTATGTTTAGCTATCCCTGCTTAACATGCGCCTGTAGAGAGAGCATCGATGACCCTTGAGTTTGTCGTATTTTCTTCTTTAATCGGTTTCTTTAATACTCCCTTATTAGTCTACTTATTTTAGCATGACTTAGTACTTTTAGATTATGTTTATTTTTATTATGGCTTTTTCATTAGCAATATTTATATTACATAATTTTATTGTCTTTATTGTTGAATATTTTAGGATAATGCCATGGCACATCTCATATTTTGTATTATTTTCTTATAAAATGCTTTATATAGTTGTATCTTACTAAGATTAAAGAAATATTTGAGCACAATTTATATGTTTTGTTCTACGAAGATTTTACCGGAAAAAAAAACCCAAAAAAATCCGAATAACCCGAAAACTCGAGAAAAACCGAGAGCGAAAAATCCGAGTTTTATTGTTTTGGTTTGGTCTTTAAATTTAATAACCCGACACAATTGGTTTGGTTTGGTAATTGTAAAATCCGAACTAACCCGACCTATGTACACCCCTACCCAAAATTATATTCATGTCCAAATTTCAAATACCATTTTCACTTAAAAAAAATTTCACCCTATTTTAGAATTTTATAATTCTTATGTCCAAACGCCAACTTAATTTGAATAAACCAAAAAAAGAAGTAGTAATATTTTCAGTAAGCAGCTTAAATTTAAATTGTTTGGATCTTGGATGTAGGAACTCACATTTTATTTTACTACTATTAACTATGTGAACAAAAAATATCGCAAAGCTCGAAATATTAAAAAAAGAATTAAGATAAATAAAATCTGAGTTAAGTTATTGGATCTAGTTTATGTTGAGATAAAAGTCGCGGTATTTTTGTTTCGCCAGCTTGCGCGCACTTTAATTAATATTATTAAATATTTATTACTTCCTACTAATACAAATATCGAATAATTCTGTTAATCTAATTTGTTGGATTATTTATTCCATTCACATTCCCTTCACACATTACCAAAGCAAGTCAAGCACCTTTTGTTCTTATTCTAACCAAATATTTCCCATATTCCTTTTTTTCGTAAGACAAGACAATCACATATACTGACTGCCACCTAACAACTTGTTTGGATGATTGTTATTTATTATATTGTATCGTATTGTTAGTTTAAATACAATGTTTGTTTTGATTGTTACTTTAATTTTATTGTATTGTATCGTTAAATTCGTCGTTACATAACGATGAAATATGCCACTTTATGTAATGACCGATTTGGTGTGGTCGCGTCGTTACCTTGTCTTTTTCTCTCAATTTCACCCCTCATTATTGTTAAATAATTTTATTTATCACTTACCCTACCTTTTTATATATTGTATCATAATTTTTCTTTATAATATTGCAAGCTTATTCATCTTATTAATGTTGTGTGATAACATGAAACGACGACAAAATGACACAATCCATCCAAATATTGTATTCATCAAATGATACAGTACAACACGATACGACACAATATGAAACGATACGTAGCAACCATCAAACAAGCTGTAAGAGTTCGGTCTCTATTTGTTCTCATACAGATGTTTTTCTTCTATTATTTCACATATTCTCATTGCCAAAATGTTTGCACGAGTTTACGTAATTTATCACGTATCACTAATTCACCACTCAAATTAGTAATATTGAATTCGAATTTTGAAGTTATATAATATAAACTACTACTAACAAATTTGTTGCATGATTAGTACAACGATTCCATGATAATTACTGGAGCATTATATACTTATTAGATATTTATTACATTTTCTCTAATATTTTTTTATGCAGATCGTTTTAACCAGGGGCGGATCTACATGCTAATTTTGGGTGCTCAAGCATCTATTATCTTTGACAAGTGTAAATTTGTATAGGTAATTATAACAATATTTAGGTAAATATTGATTGAGCATCCATAACTAAACTCTTTTTTCCTCTTCTTTCAAATTATTTATCAATGAGCACCCACGACTTTAAAATCCTGGATCCGCCACTGATTTTAACTATTACTCCATGATTTATAGTAGTACTTTTAAATAATTATCAAATATGCAAATTTTATTTTAAGAAATTCAGAAAAATCTTTATCCTTGTTTCAGACAAAAATTTAAGTACTTTGACACTCATACTCCAAAGCAGTGAAGATTTCGGCGCATTATTTTAATCCACTATTTTATTTACATTCCAATGCCGCGTTAGCCCCAATCTGTATACACTGCCTGCAAATCAAAGCTCTTGTTTCTCTAGCTCGTGAATAAGTCACCCGCCAGAAAGGAATAGCCGAAATAGAATTTGAATCCTGGACTCCCATGATTTCACCTACTATAGTCAATATTGACCAAAGTTGTAGTTTTTGGAGTAGATAATAAATAAGAAAAATGACATTGTATAACCGCTGTAAAAATAATAGCCGAAAAAATGTATATATTTTTTATATATATATACACACATTTTATATGTTATAAACAAAAAATAAAATTTTATGTACTTTTTCGACTACCGGATATAAATAGTATCTAGCGCGAATTAGAAGTGATAATACCCATAATAAATATGGCTTTTCCCCTGTGAATCAACATGCTTAAGTACTTTTTGCACTTTTCTTCACAAGGCCAACACACCAAGGATGGACCGCACTTAACATTTGACATGGTCGCCTTTCCAACCATGCCCCATGGGCCAGGACTCCTGGGACGCAATGGCGTCCTAGCAAGCCTCTCAACGCCTAGCGCCATGAACGGCCCACTGGTCTTGGTTGCGCCAAGTGACAAGCGCGCATGTACGTCTATCACCCCCACCGATAAGTCCTCGCCAGCGCCCACCCGCAGGCAGATGGCAACAGCACCGCGCGCGCAGACAACGCTATGCGCACAGACCGTGATGCCAAAGACAGGGTTGCTGACAACGGGTCTATTTCTACCTTATAGAAAACTAGGTCCTTTTCATTGTAAATATAAAGTACTTTCATTTCATGTACTTTACTTTCCTCTAGCTTAGTTAGGTTAAGTTCTGTAACTTTAGTTTATTTTTATAAGCATTATTAGGGTGCATCAAGCATCAAATTTCTAGCAAGCAAGCAAGCAAGCAATTCTCTGTATTGATATCTCTCCCCTTCGATACTGTGTTGCTTTTCTGTAATAGCTTTCACTAATGCAATCAAGCTTTGTTTCATTCTCAATTCTCTTTTCTGTTCTCTCAGTTGCTCCACATTGGTTTTTTCGTACGACACTGACAATCTAGTCTAGTGTAGGGGACCCCAGTTTGCGGATAGTAATTACACGGACATCGGTTGCATAGCTTACGTCGCCCTTCCCAGGAATCTCAGGAAGGCACCGCGTAACATTAAGACATGAAATCGTTCTCTTCAACACTATTTTTTTTATTCTGCCGAAGAGGTTTTTATTTCATTACAAAAAGGATAACACATCTTATGACAACAGACTTGATGCTGCATCCTCAAGGATCAACATAGGCAAATAGGTTTCAAAGTTGGTTCATACCATTTGGTGTCTTTGCCTTTTGTATGAACTCTAGTAGGGGACTGCTTATTATAGTGACATATGTGACTTCCAACTGCAAACAATGCAAACAAAATCAGATTTTGATGAAATTGAAACAACAAAGCGATTTAATACAATGTTTCACATAGGGAACAACCAAAAAAATCAAGTTTCTTACACTTCTGAAGCTGACAAACTCTGGCTGAGATCGATAACAAAGGTGCGGATTTCCATTGGGGCAAGCTCTACCACCAGCTTTGTAGGATCAACGGGTTTCCCTCTTGGCACGACTGGCGAATCATTAGGAGCTTCTGCTTTCCACTTTAGTCTTTTCTTCTCCATTTCCTCTCTTTCTTGGTTTGCAGATAAACTCATCTCTTTAATCTTGTTTATCTGGAACAAAAAAGTTTAAGGAACATTAGTTGATTCAACTGAAACTTGTTTTCCTGATTGCAGCCAAGAACTAGGCTGCGAAGGAATGCCTACTGTTTTACCTTTTTCTTTGGGAACAATCTTTTCAATTCTACACTTGCCGTGACGGATAGATCCTTATCTTCATCAACCTAGTAAAACATAATAGTTTAAGATCTGGGAATGAAAGCTTGGACTCTAAAAGAATCACGCTATTACTGTGTGANAAAAGATAAATTGGTAGATAACAAATAAGAGTGCTACACACAGAAATTGCTTCCAAGGTAGCACACTAAATAACACTTCAGATTGCCGTTAAATACCTGAAGGGTGATTATTGCAACATTATTAGGCAGATTGTAAGATGGATCTATCCCTGTAAAGGTTGGAACTTGTAATTTTGTAATTTTATCCCCATCCTGTAATTATGAAACATCAAATGAGATTACAGAGGAAGCTCATTGGCGACGACAAAATACTGGACTTTCCATAACCTGCTCACTAAAAGCTAAAAGCAATGGAGAATATATCTCCTGTCCAAATGACCTCCGCCATTTAGCTCCCTCTCCAACAGGATCAACCCTGAGATAGTACTTGCCTTGGACCTGGGTAAATATGTTAACATCCTTAATGAGTCAGCTGCACATTTGATTTAACATGCATAAAACCAAATATTAATTACAAAAGGGCTTCAGAAAACGAGCTTATGGAGAAACATCACATAGAGAGCAGTCAAATTACTACCTATCTATGATGTAAAGACAAGAAAGGATAAAAGTGGGAGTACCGACCTACGTCACAAAACAAACTTATTTTTTAGGAAAAAAGTAAAACAACTTAACATGGGTAGCCACGTATAAAGAACGGATGAAAGGTAACAAACAACATGGTAACGGTATTGTATCAGAAGATGAAGCTAAAATTATAGATATATATGCACATTTGAGACTCAAAACCTAAGCAATAACATATATGAAGCCAAACTGAAATATACAATATTCCAGGAGAGTTATTGCATTTTCATTTACTCTCATAAGGAGAAACTAGATATATAGTAGATATTATGAAGGAGTCATTGAAAGTTTACTAGCTACTAGTTAATATCAATCCTCAATCTCTTAGAAAATTGCATGCACTGTATAATAACTAAAGCAAATTAAAGCCACAAGCAAATTGGAGTATATTGTGATGGTGGACAGTGCTCACAGTCAAGCCCATGCATTTTCCAAGAGCACAGACGGTTTCATTTAGTGCTTCAGCAACACCTCTTCCATCATCATGCAGTAACCTCCTATAAAGAAGGAATGTACAAATAATTTCCATTGAGATTCTGCTATTGGTAACTTCAAATACTGACGAATTCACAGTAGAAAGATGCAAAGAGAAGAAGAGATAAACAAAGGTCGTAAAATGAATAGAGCAAACCTGTGAAGCATTAGCTCCAATTGACCATCAACAAGGCTGGATCCACCTACAGCTCTATCAACTAAAACTGAGAACTCGTTGCTGTTGTCTTTCAGGAACATTCCAAGATTGATCTGTAAGAGACAAGCCAAAATAACATAGTTAACATCACCAGTACGTTCTCTACCACAGGTTATCCGATAAACAGGCTGCTTTACAATAAAGATTTGAGTTCTCTGAAAGAACTCTTTTGCAAGATAAAAAAATACATGTGCATATAAGAAGTTCACAAAATTAGGAGGTGTAACATTCCCAAGAAGCCTTGTGGAACAAGGACAAAGTATTAGAAAGTCAAATGAATATGCAACCCCAGCAGCATTCCCAAGCAGCCTTGTGGAACAAGGACAAAGTAGAACATATGGAAAGTCAAATGAATACGCAACCCCACCCCAACCCCAACCAAAGGAAGAGGAACTTCTGCGCTACTTCAGATTTCGAAATGGTTTGCCACAAATATTTTTAAAATTTTCCATAGGCAAGTTTAGCTCAGTAACTGGATTAAACAAAAAGTAGATTCAAATCTTGACATGATACTTTAATATCATAAACAAATGCAATCATAGATCAATTTTTCAAGGAAAAAGAACATTTAGAAAATTTTGAAGTCTACTAACATACAGGATAATAATTTCCAGCAGCAGGTTGGTTCACTTGAAGATCCCAATCAGCTCTATAATCTCGAATCTGCAGATATAAATGGAAGCAAAAAATGTCATTCTCTAATGACGACTTTATGCTAGAGGGTGAAAATGCAACTCACCCTTTTAAGGAAATCACGTCCATTAGAATCAGTATAAAATGTTTTGTTGCTTTTGATGTCAGTTTGAATATGAGTCACCAGCTCTTTCCCAATTCCGTTGTCAATAGGTATGGGGCCAACCTGAATTCAGGATTGCTTAATCACTGGAGCTTTGAAAGCTTTGCAATTCCAAGCATTTTAGATATCACATCTCCACCAGCAACAGAGATGACACAGGTGAAGCAAAAATAAGATTAAACTTACAGTGAACTCAACTTCAACGTGCTCCTTTTCCTTGTACACTCTAGTGATCTGCTCATTCACATGTTAAATCAGTATGAGCGACATGATTAAGTTGTTCTCCAATGGTTTGAATATCATGAGAATAATTATTGTTCACTTGACCAGATAAATTTCATAGTTTCCAAGTAGAATATCCAGAGACAGGGACACATAGAGAGAGATAGAGAGAGCGAGAGCCAAATTTAATTTCATACTATTAGGGAAAATTGCGACCCAATGCTCCTATACATTCAATGGGATCACATCCAGAATACATTTGCATTAATTTCTATCGTTCGCATAATATATAGCTACGTCGTGTATACTTTGAAATTGAAAGGGCTCAATGCATCACTGGTCGTCTTTGTTCTTACATCGTAATTCTGTTGTGAATAGGACACAGAAAACAATATAGTGATAAGATTGTAAAATTCTTCGATATTAGTTAATGTAATAACCTGATATATCCATGAATTGATATTTTGATGAACTTCATCAAGCAGTGGACCTTGTAGAATGGTAACTGAAACCTGATCAACAATAAGCAGCTTTTAGTTAATTTTATATTGCGCATTCGATGCTTTAAAGGGCCTTGCTTACCTTTTCCTCAGAGTGGATGGGGAATGAACCATTTGGGCGAAATACATATGCTCCAGAAGCCTTGAAAATTCAGAATAAACGTTTTAGTACATGTGCGCGCCAAATGAAAAAATAAGAACAGTACTGAATCATCAGATTCTACAACCTGAAGGTCTTTCCACGCATCCTTGCTTCCATCATCTGCGGAATAATAACTGAATGATTGCTCCAGAGAGCTTCTAACCTTCATTCACAATATAAAAAAAGAAGTGAAATATAGATATTCCAATCAGCTGCTCACAACTAGAAGCCAGAAGCCCGCAACTAACAAAGCTATATAATTCTACTGACATCAAAAGTTTTTTAGTGTGAATGTCCAGATCTACATTGCTGGTTATTATAGAGAAACAGAAGACGTATAAAACAAATAGATAACGACCATTTGAAATATGACAAGCATATAGTGGCTGGCGAACTAAATTACCTGGTTTCTCTTGTTAAAATATTGAGTGAACTTTCCTCCATTTGCAGAATATAACACTTTCAAGTTCCCCGGCCCCACTTCTACAGCATCACTTTGACTTCCATCAGTTTTGTAGAACGTCTGCGGTATTGAAGCAGCAACTGCATGTGTAATGTATACAAGAAGAGATTTAATTTGTCAAGCCTCTGAACAATGGGAGACAATTACAATCATCTATTGCATGTAAATTTTGTGATATGCCAATCAGATGCTGAAGAATTGGAAGCTATTAAGACACCAGCTTGCATTTTAACTTTCATGATACACCAATCAGATGTCTAACCTGCTCGTTTACCACTTGTTACAACATAGGAGTTAAAGCCCAAAGGTGGAACAGTAGCAGTAAACGCAAGCCAATATTTGGGGCTTGAAGTAGGGGATTCACCAACATATGCGGTAGCATAATAGTCCCTTATTGCTATTGAAGCTTTGACTATTGGCAGAAGCTGTGATTCAATTTCTTTTCCAGTGGAATCCTGAACGATGACGTTTTCATTGACAACCTGGTCCAATCGTTTAGGTAAAGGATGAGCAGAGATGTCAGTGATAAATGATAAGTTATCCATTTTATGCATAATGTTGCCAAAGTGGCAAATAACTAGGACTATCATTTATACACACCAGCACCCAAAAAGAGGAGAGAGTAATTCTGTGCCGAAATAGTTGTATCAATTGTTTCTTTCTAGTTTACTATTGTACTTCAAATATATTTTTCTTATACATTCTTCTTTTCATTTGGAAAGACAAGACAAATTTCATATCACTGAAGCAAGAAACCAGGAGAAATGAAGTGCTGGGAAGGGCTTAGACTGATTATTCTTCTAAGATTTTCACCATTCATTTTTAAAAAATCTACTCTTTTGGTTCCACGACTTCATAAGAATCTACAAATAAGCCCCTTTGAAGTTTTGCTTTGGCCCCCTTAAAAGATTAATCGCCAAGTTTACACTAGTCTCAACTCCGAGACTTTTTTTGGGGCTAATTTCATCTCAGTCAACATGTTACTAAACATCATTCTAAGAGATTGATGAGTCTATGCTACAAACTGATGCCATTTTCCACACATGTCTTGATAACCCTGATACTTTACATATAAATATACTTGTTGCATCTTTGGTCACACCGATTGATTGACCCCGGAAGTAAAGAATGACGGTTCGACGAGCTCTGGTAAAATGACGCTGATTAAGAATATGCTTTCGTGCATGAGTTGAGAGTGCATTGAAGGATTGAGATCTAATCTAAAGAACTCTTAAATATTGCCACATACATATTACCTACTGTTGCTGCTCAATAGTTAAATGAGAGGACATATTTATGTGCAGGAAGAGTGAGAATCAAAGCAGCAGATAAATTGTTTAAAATGCATAACGGCCTGGGAAAAGAAAAGATCAAATTACTCACAGGGATTCTGACAACATCTGTTCTTTTCCACCCAAGAGAATTGTACACGACAACCACCTACATAAGTAAAAAATTGATGATTTGCAAAACTGCTCTTTACTGATGTAGGGCTTCAGGTAGTGTTCCTCACTTCCCACCACACAGAAATTTATGTGAAGGTTTTCAACAGTATGAAAAGCTATAGGAAATCAACTACTCACTAATTTTTTGCCAGGAGCAAGATCAGCTT